TGCGTCTGTTTCCCGTACACAAAACTAGTAAAATATTTTAAATCGAAATAGGTTTCGATTAATTGAAGATTCTTACAGGTTTTGGAACAGACCAAATGTGACAAATATGGTATCCGTCATGCCTATAATTTTTTGAAATTCGAAATAAATGTATTATTAAACGTATAAAATACACTTTGGTTTATTTTATTGTTGTTTAAAAATTTTCATTAAATATAAAATTTACTAAAAAAAAAACTATTTACTATTGAAACGAAGAACAATTCATATGTGATTGGAGAGCATGTATAATGTTTTCATATTCTATTAAAAATAATGTACCTGTTGTTTTCGTATGGAATGCTACATCGTGAACAATTACTATTTACTTCCTACATAATTTCAATGGTAGAGGCATATTCAAATGAGTGACGTTGGAGAAATATATGGAACATACCAAAAAGTGAACCTTTACTGATAATTCTACAAACTGGTTTATGTACACCAAATACAAATTTTAGCAAATTTTAAATGAAAACCCCAAAGAGTGGATTGATAGAAATAACGCATGGTAGTATATACATTCCTCAAACTACTGCAATTTAGATTGCAAAGTTAGATTACATAGTGTAGAAAATAACGAATATTTGGGTTATAATTATATAGGGAGGGTATAAAAATTAGTGAATTATTGCAGTACGAGGACACATCTTTTTTTTTTTTTTTTTTTGAGAATGTCATACATTGTCTATGTTTACGGTTACGGTTACGTGGTGTTAACAAACTATATTGTTTGGGTAGAGAATTCCAAAGATATAAACCATTTCAACCAATACATTTATATATTTGCGAATCGTATAGTGGCTGTCTTGAATTTTTCGTAGACAATAAACCTCTGTATTGCTATGCGTAAGAAAATTTGTATCGGATCGAGTAATTCGAACTCTCTAATTTGTTTTCGTATCTTTTTAACACAAATTTGGCCTCACCGCACTCTGCAATACGAACACGTATGCCAAACTCGTTCGTTAAGCGCAAATATCTTGCGTTAACAAAATAGCAAACGCACAGTCTAACTTCAACTTTCATAGTGAGCGGTCGTTATTTTCTCCTTTTGCTTGCATCACACAAAACAACTATGAGTTAACACAGACATTCAAATAAATAGCTCATTTTACATAGTTTGGATTCGAAAGTCAGCAGTGTAGGGCGAAAAATGGCTTACCTCCTCCGGAGGAACAGAATGGTACACCAAAGAAACATCATAAGGACGAATCATAAATTACCACTCGACGCAACCAAGGAATAAGAAAGTAAATAAAGCGGAAATTTTCATCACCTCCTCAATAGATATCATTCAATGATTCACTGGATTTATTTTATAATTTAGAAAGTCGTTTTAATATTTCGGAGGACTTCAGGCAATTTCTTCTATTTTGTCGGCTATCAAAAATTATTTCTTTTTATTTCTGTTCCGTATAGTGAGAGCAGATCTCAAATGTAATGATTGACCAAACCAGTATTTTTTCTATTTCATTTATACGCTTATAAACTGCTGTGTACTTGGTGCCAAATCTGTATAATGAGATTAAATAAATACGACTCTCATTTAAATTGAGAATATTGAAAGAATATTTAGGTTTATTATCGAATGTTCGAAGTGACACCAATATAAATACATTTTTGCCCAATTATTGCCGCTCACAAAATGATATGTTTATATGGCTTGATGTAACCTACGAATTTGAATATTCAAGTAAAGATATTTATATATACTTCTCGACTCGAAGGAAGCTTACCAACATTGAAAAAATTCGGGTTGGTTATATGAAAAAAAACATGTATTATAAATCCAAGACTTAATAAAGGTTAATTTTCAAGGCAAGTTTATGATTTCAAACTTTTAGTGTAAACCGATTGCGACAAAATGGCCGAGACGTTAAATTGTTGAATCCATCAAACCTCCCCAACGCTAACAGCACCAGTTATGAGCAAAAGAAAACTTCAATGAAAGTAGCGCAACAGCCAAATAGCCGATAAATAGCAAGCTTGTCTGCAAATAATCCACCGGAAGATGGCGCTGGCACATTCTTTTTATCATCCAACATATCATACCATACTTTTTCCTTTAATGGGATGTTGTAAAAGAAAATTCATGTGAAGAAAAAAAAAACAATCCTGGCAAGTACCATTCTACATCACATTTCAGATCTAATATACTTTGGGTTTCATTAACCCTTTCAGTGTTTTTGTCGCATATATTCGACATTTAAAGATAGACGAAACTGGCCGAGGATTGAAATGAAAATTGCAATTTTTTCTACACTATATCCCTTTATATAATTTTAAATACAAAATTTTAGATTTTTATTCCGACAAAAATTTTTTGACACTGAAAGGGTTAACTAGCTTTTCTAGCTTGACTACTTCCTTATTTCATTAAGGTGTCTTAATAAGTGGATTCTGATTTCAATGTCTTGTGATGATTTATGTCCAAGTATGAAAATTAAACACTTGAATTGATTGCAGATTAACATGACCAGCGTACTTGCTTCTCTTTCGAAGACGTGTTTGAAACGATTGTACCATGAATCAAATAATAAACCACTGAGATGCTCATAGTGAAAATCCGTCATGGAATTAGCTGAAGATTCTGAGGTTGGCTTTTGCCATTGATTTATCTGGAACTGATGATAAAACCAGGGTGCGCAAAAATTTGCTCGCGAATGATTCAAAATACATTATTTTGTGCTCATTTTAAGGATGAATTTATGGCGGTAAACTCTTTACCAAACGAACATTCGCCAAAGATTGATCGCACAAACATAACAAAAGAGCGAAAAGAGCACACAACAACGTTCGTTTGGTAGTTGAAATTCTTTCTGACATTCTCTCACGAATGAAAACAAACATTCCCGAATTCAAACGTTCGTGAACTCAATAGTTGTTGGACATGTGTTTTGTTATTCCACACACATTCTGCTACACACAATTTCATTCGTTGTTTGTGTGCGTTTTTATGATATTTTTGTTTGTTGTTGTTTTTAACAGTGCTCGCGAGAATTCTCGAACATTTGTTTTTTGAGTTTTTCAAAAGAATATTCTTCAGCAACAAATGCTCGCGAAATAAGGAATCGACGACGCTTGCGACGCTTTTCGTACAATGCGAACATTCGCGAAAGAATGCAAATGTTTGTGCATTCATTGTAACATTGTAACTTTATCATTCGCGATAAATTGAAAACATTTGAATACTCACCCGTGAGCATTCGTGAGAAAGAGCTTATTTTAATCATTCTTCGCAACCGTGGATAAAACAGTGTTTGCACATTGCACATTTAGCAAATGCGTCGTTGTCCTTATATGATTTCAGCCGTTATAATTTTAAACGAATAGCGGCGTCTATGTCTGTGTATGACTCACATGTCTGCGTATAACGTTATAGTTTTAAGCGAATAAGAGCCTAAAAACAACCACGGAGTCTAGAGTCAGCGACGACCGTTTGCCGTGTGTCTCTTATTGTCAACTGGAAATTCCGGCGGCTGACGTTCGCACCTAGCGGTTTGACGCTAGAATAGATTTTATTTATTTTTGCTCAGCGGAATACTCAAAATCTTACTCGATTGAGTTCCCAAATTTTAGGTAAAAATCAGCAGTACTATTAACATTTCAATAGAAATTTATATCAAAAGTGCTATTAAAAAACACAAATATTTTCAAAGATTGCGGACGTTTTTTTTTAACGAATTAATAATAAAATGGAAGAAAAAATTTATCGAGGAAATAAAAAATACGACATTTTGTATAACTTGGAATCTCCTAAATAAATTGAATTGGGTTTGCACAACGTATAATACTTTGTCAGAAAATGAAAACAAATAACTTACATTTTATGCCGCTAACTCTTTGGTTGGGTTTTCACACCGACGAAAATGTATGCCGCTGTCTCCTGACTCTCTGGTTGGGTTTAGATTCTAACTGCGTCGTTGTTTGTGTATGCGTGTGCCGCAGTGATGATGAAATTCTCACCGTTGCTTGGTGTGTGTGTTGATGAACTTGCGCTTGTGCGTTTTGATATTTTCTTGTAAAAAATTTTTCCTGCCGCAATTTTTATTGTGTGCGATGTCATAATCCTCGTCAGCAAATTGTTATGTTCTTACGGGGGTGATCAATTGAATAACAGATGATTAAACATAACCATGGTCCAAATATCAAGTCGTCTAAATTCATTCAAAAGTAAAACTCTGCAGCTACATCTATTGTCAAAAGTTATATTTATAGCGAAAATTCTATTTAGAAATTATTGTTTATTTTCTACATTTTAAACGTGCACAACACAAATTGGCCGCCACCACCCACATTTTTCGTAAACAGGTAATTTGTTTTTTTCTATGATTTGAAATAAATTGTTAATATTTAACAAATGTATTTTTTAATAAAAAATCGTTTTCGGGATCTTTGTGAATGTATACTATGTTTTTTTTTATTGAAATTCAAATAAAAACTGCATTGTTTGACAAAATATGTAGATATCAGCTGTCCTTACTGACCTAATGTATAGACCAAGGATTATTCATAAGGTTAACAGGGTGGCGAATTCGAAGTCTTCATTGACATTACGTTTTCCTGAAAAATTTGTTGAGTTTTTATCCTGTTCTGGTTGATATTTCGCGATTTAAATGTTGACAGCAAGAGAATACTAAGGCATGAATTCGCCTGTCTGTTAATCTTATGAGTAAACCTTGGTATAGACCTTGGACAGAACAATAAATTCATTTATTAAATAATACTTTCACTTGTATTTATGAAATAATAAAGTGTTAATTAAGATGAATAATGGAGTATGATGAAATATGTACAATGAGATATGTATTCAATGACGGTTGCAAAGAGACTCTTTGACTCTGTGTGTAGATGAAACGTAGTAACATAAAAACTACTGAAGAGGGTTCCCTTAAAAAAATGAATTAAAAAGTCATTCTAAATTCCACTTTATAATTTACATTTTATTTATTTTTAAGGTTGCCGAAGAACGAGAAGAACATAAATACGATAATCGAGAAAATACTCCATATGGAGAATATGGGGGATGGCACAAAGCTGCTAAAGTTGATTCGCCAACAGTTACCACTACATTGAAAAATTTGGGTGCATTATATCGCAGACAAGGCATGTTTGAAGCTGCAGAGACTTTAGAAGACTGCGCATTACGCAGCAAAAAGGAAGCATTGGATATAGCGAAACAAAATAAGGTATTTTATTACCTACCGAAAACTTTAGGTTATTTGATTACCAATCTTTTGTTTTTATTTTTTCATTTTAGAAGCTTCATAAATAGACACCCATGAAACATTTAGACTGGATGATTGTGACAATGCGTCTGTTTCCCGCACACAAAAATAGTAAAATATTTTAAATCGAAATAGGTTTCGATTAATTGAAGATTCTTACAGGTTTAGGAACAGACCAAATGTGAAAAATATGGTATCCGTCATGCCTATAATTTTTTGAAATTCGAAATAAATGTATTATTAAACGTATAAAATACACTTTTTTTATTTTATTGTTGTTTAAAAATTTTCATTAAATATAAAATTTACTAAAAAAACTATTTACTATTGAAACGAAGAACAATTCATATGTGATTGGAGAGCATGTATAATGTTTTCATATTCTATTAAAAATAATGTACCTGTTGTTTTCATGTGGAATGCTACATCGTGAAATGAACTATCTCTTCAAACGACTATTTACTTCCTACATAATTTCAATGGTAGAGGCATATTCAAATGAGTGACGTTGGAGAAATATATGGAACATACCAAAAAGTGAACCTTTACTAATAATTCTACAAACTAGTTTATGTAAACCATTATGTACACCAAATACAAATTTTAGCAAATTTTAAATGAAAACCCCAAACCCCAAACCTTTTGCCATTGATTTATCTGGAACTGATGATAAAACCAGGGTGCGCAAAAAATTTGCTCCCGAATGATTCAAAATAGATTCTTTGTGCTCATTTTAAGGATGAATTTATGGCGATAAACTTTTTACCAAACGAACATTCGCCAAAGAATTATCCCACAAACATAACAAAAGAGCGAGAGCACACAACAACGTTCGTTTGGTGGTTGAAATTATTTCTGACATTCTGTCACGAATGAAAACAAACATTCCCGAATTCTCGCGAATGCTCAAAACGGCAACAACAATAACAACAAACGTTCGTGAACTCAATAGTTGTTGGACATGTGTTTTGTTATTCCACACACTTTTTGCTACACACAATTTCATTCGTTGTTTGTGTGTGTTTTTATGATATTTTTGTTTGTTGTGTAACAGTATGATCAGCATAAGCTTCCTTTATATTCTACTATTATGGTTTGGAGCACATAATTACTAAACTGTACGAAGAAAAGAAAAAAATTAACCATTCCAAGATTTTTTTTAATTATATATGCATGTCTAGGTCATAAAGTGGACATTTTATTAGCGACTGATGTTTTTCGCTTGGACACCTTTAAATAAATCCCACCCAAAATAACTAAACCAAAAGTAACCCGTGTCCATGTTTTCTTGGATTACTGCCCTGAACTTTGTTATTGAGCCTACTAATTCTCTATAAGATCACAACCAACAATTCCCTTATAAGCTTGTCTATTCCATGTTTAATGGTTTACAATCCATTTATTAAATAAATTCATTTGTGTTTTAATTCGAATACTCTTAAGAGTGTCTTATAATAACTCATGATCCTTAACAATTAAGTATATTTTCTATAATATTTAACAGTTCACAAATGGATAGTTGGGCGATATAATTTGCATGTATTAGGTTTACTTACAGTTATGATGAATTTAGGTTATGTTCAATTACTCAAAATTTGAGGTTACCTTCGATGTGGCCGATGGACAGAGCTCAATACACAGGGTTTCGAAGTTCTTCTGCAATGTTTTTAAATAATAATATTTAATACAAAAATTCGTAAATTCTTTGCAATATTTATAACCCACGGTGTCAACCGTGCAATGTTGCGAATTTACGTGTATAAACTCACTTTACATTAACATTTTTTTAAATTAAAATACCAATTAATCCAAAATTTACGTTAACTTTTTTTAATTGAGTTGAAAATCATAAATTAGATTCTTTGAGTTATGTTATTTGTAGTTAGAGTTTAAAGTGCACAAACACAAAGCAAATATAGAAAAAATAAAGTTGATAATACACCTAATTCTGTTTTTACACGAATTTGAAATAACACGAGTAAATACGAAAAAATATTTCTATTTTTACACGACATAATTTGAAATAACACCAATACAAAAAAAAATTACTTTTTTTACATGAACTATTTATTTATTGAAGAAAATTCTGGAATGCTTTTGCTCAAACATCCCTGCCTTAATTAGAGTAACAACCCTACATGGCATGAATTTCTGATATGGCAACATTTTATATAATTCTGGTGTGTGTTCTGAGTTATGTCTATGTATGCGTAATTTCTGTTTTACGGGAAATGCGGGATTCCCCGAATTATTGAAAAAGTAAAAATGTACATTATGTATTCTACACACAATTTAGTTCCTATTTGACAATTATAATTGAAAGATCGTTAGTTTTTGCTGATTTTTAACAATGGCATCATTAATCATCATCATTAATGGCATCTTACAGGGAAGTTTATAATGGGTTAACGCGAAATAAAACTCAATCTAAGATAACTGATTTCGTTCAAAAATCTACTGATGTCCCAACACAGTCGGCTAGAAATGATAATGATCAACAAAATCATTCCAGTGATGGCAGTGATATTGCATCCGTTTACGTTTATTATCAGACAGTGACAATAAATAAAATTGTTTAATGTTTAAATTTTTCTTATGGTTGTACTTTATGCTATTTAAGTTTTTTGGCAATGAATTTCTGGTATTATCTTTTTTATGAAATCTAAATTTTAATTTATTTTATTATAATTTAGTTTATTTAATAAATTAAAACGAAAATAGATTCTTAAAATAACTACAACAATATTTTTTTATATTATTTAGTCTAATTTTTACTTCTTTTTTGAGGTCTAGAACCAATCTATTATTTTTGTACTTGGCCAGTATCTTTTTTTACACGAATTTCTCGGGAACCATTCTATCGTGTAAAAACAGAATTAGGTGTACTTAATATCGTCTCCATGCCTCGGGTTGGCAAATACCCGACGTAAATTGCACCTAAATGAACGCTCCTCATACATATTTGAAGCAACAGCGTAATTATCTTCAGATTTGACCTCTATATTTCCTTTACAAATTAAGGTATACTTCGGAAGTGTTACTGTCGTGGATACAGCATAACAAAATGATCCCTTTTTTTGGAGTTCAGCCAGAAAGATGTCTTCATAATTGAGTATGTAAAAAATTATCAGATGATTCCCTTTTTAATAAAGGTTAATTTTCAAGGCAAGTTTATGATTTCAAACTTTTACTGTGAACCGATGGCGACAAAATGGCCGAGACGTTAAATTGTTGAATCCATCAAACCTCCCCAACGCTAACAGAACCATTTATGAGCAAAAGAAAACTTCAATGAAAGTAGCGCAACAGTCAAATAGCCGATAAATAGCAAGCTTGTCTGCAAATAATCCACCGGAAGATGGCGCTGACACATTCTTTTTATCATCGAACATATCATACCATACTTTTTCCTTTAATGGGATGTTGAAAATAAAAATCATGTGAAGAAAAAAAAAACAATCCTGGCAAGTACCATTCTACATCACATTTCAGATCTAATATACTTTGTGTTTCATTAACCCTTTCAGTGTTTTTGTCGAATATATTCGACATTTAAAAGTACTCTCTTTCTTTGTGATTTTTCGACTATCCTATGTACCGTTACTATTGATGTTTTTGTTTAAAGATAGACGAAACTGGCCGAGGATTGAAATGACAATTGCAATTTTTTCTAAACTATGTCCCTTTATATAATTTTAAATACAAAATTTTAGATTTTTATTCTGGCAAAAATTTTTTTGACACTGAAAGGGTTAACTAGCTTTTCTAGCTTGACTACTTCTTTATTTCATTAAGGTGTTTTTTGTAATATATATTTATAATATATTAAGTTATATATATTGGTTATTTAGGAACAAAGGACTTTCTTCTTGTTTTGTCCTTTTTTTAAATTAGAAATATTCCTCGGAATAATATTTGTTAGTCCACAAAAAAAAATGTGATGTCGTTTATTATTTGGTTTAATTTTTTTCTTTTATATGATCACGTCTTTGATCTTGATGACTTGATCGTCAAAACTAAAATGGAACCTCTCTACAATTTTATTCACTACATTGCCCTTAGCAACAGCCAAAATTGTTTACTTCTTTTCTTTAATTGCCGAAACTTTTTTCTTCTTTTTTTGCATTCCATACCACGTATGCATTGCTCTGCCCAACAACAATAAAGGTTATTGTTGCTCGTATAGAATAGACTCACCGTAAAAGATAGCTTACAATGTAACGTCCTCTTATAACAGTGTTATAAGGAGTGTGGTTTACCACACAATGTGAGTATAACACTTTCGGTGTTCGAACATTATCTGCACTAAGTGAGCAACACTAAATTACTCTTTAACACCGGAGTTATGACAATACTTTTGATGACAAAAAGGCCGAAAAATTTTCTCATTGTAAAGTGTTGGGGAAGTATACCCAATTTACAAAAAAATAACCTTTCATGCAATTTTTTTTTTTGTATAATCTGCCACAAACCTTCTTTGTAGTCTACCTTACCGGTGGACGAAAATAAATACAACAGATTAACAAAATATTTTTCGTGGGACTCGTCCACACCCTGAGATCTGTTAGCTGGGCAATTTTTTTAAAAAGGCTTAAGGTCCTTGCCATGATAAAGTCCAATATATTTTCCATTTAATGTCTCGAGTTCATAACAAGAGGAACCAACCTTTTTCCTAATGCGACATTTAGCGTACGGTGGTAAAAGTTTAGAATTAATTCCCTTTTTGATATCAGACTGCTGAAACGTTTTGCGATACACTTCTTGTCCAACTATATATTGTAGGTTGTTGCAACGAATATTATAACTTTTAGTAGCTTTTTCGTGAGCTATAAGAAGATTATCTTTAATTTTGTCATGCAAGAGCTGAAGTTTGACATCATTTGCAATAAGGTTAAATTGTCCTTCTGTCACACATCCTAATTTTTCCATGCGGGATTCCCCGAATTATTGAAAAAGTAAAAATGTACATAATGTATTGTACACACAATTTAGATTCTATTTGACAATTTTTACATGAACTATTTATTTATTGAAGAAAATTCT